TCAGTTAAACCTGAATTTTGGGTTAATATTTGAAACTTACTTATATTAAGAAATATTTGTCTAAAGTCCAAATTCAACTGGATGCCCTATTTTTAGTTGCTAAACACAGCAGCCTTGACTATGAAGCAGTGTAGGACGCTATAAGAGCATATTTACTGTATTTACATATTGCTGTAAGAGAAAGGTCTGACCTTACCTGATGGTGATGGTGAAGAGGGTGGCTCAGGGATCAGGAGTCAAAGAACTTGAAGGTCCATTATCAGTTACATACATTCATGCTATATCCAAGAGACAAGTAACACAGCTAAAGAAAAGAACATTGGACAAATTCGTGCAATAAGCACTCCTAGGCAGAAAGCTGATTTTTAAAATTTAATATTGCTATGCAGGGTGATTTATAGATTACGCTATGGAAAGGCTTTATGGGAAATTTCCATGCAGAGCTACAGGGCTCAGAGCAGGTGTAGGACTACGTTCCAAGAAAGTCAGGAAATGCCCTCCCTGACCAATTACCGCAAATCCTCTGCTCACAAAGGAGTCCTTGAGAAAGAGAGAAATGCAGGTGGAAGCACACTGTTTTCTCCAGGCAAGACCAATAACCAAAAAAATAAGGGCAAAAAACCCTGGCAGCTCTGGCTTCCGTGTGAGAATGCCTGTTTCACAGTGCATTGACTTTTCAGGCTGGAGTTGACGAGGCAGGCGCCAGAGGAGTGCAAATCCTTTCAGAGGCAGATCTGAGGAAGAACAGTCAGAAAGGCGGAGGAGGGACTGGAGACCGTCTGAGCTGTGGCTTGCTGGGGTGTTTGCTGTGCAGTCCCCAGCCCCTTCCCTGGCTGCCTTGGAAGGTCCTGAGATGTGCCCTCTTAATGCCTTCCCCTTCCCCCATGGCTCCTCACCTCCACAGTGCTCTCTCCACTCTCTTATCTACTTTTGCACTGATCTCTTACTTCTTTGACTTTCCTTCTCCTCTTGATGGTAAACATGCAAAATTGAAGTTACAGCTATGTATTGATCAAGGAAAACAATGTCACCCATTCTTAACTTTAAGAAATAAAACAAGAACTGGACTATTCTATCAACAAAACTTTAAACGGGAAATTATGTGGCATTTGGTTGTAGATTTTTTAGCTCTATTTTAATTTAAATTTGTACTTTAATTCTCTCCCTGAGAGTGGTGTTCAGAAAAAAAAAGTTTCTTCTTGTTGTAAATATGATTTAAAACTTAATACAAAGGTCAACTCATAGGTATTAAAATAAATCATTCAGAATATGTTACAAAAGTTTAACTTTTGGCCTCATCAAAACAGTAATTACCTAAAAAATATTTTTAATGTATCTGTGACACAACTAGCTTGGAAAGAACCACATCCATGTAATATTTGATATGCAGTGCTACACTTCTCTAATAATACCCAAAGGATTTATGCTAACTTGGATTTCTACAAAAATCAGAAATGTGCAAGTGTGGGGAAATACTAAATCTAGTTTGTGGAACTATGTACTGTCGCTCCCCCTCTTCGTGGAGGAGCAACACAGGACCCTGCGCTGTTCTTTTCGTCTGCTCGGCCCTCCCCGGGTTTGCTGCTGGTTCTTCCCGGGTTGGCTACTATCCCTTCCACCTCCGTGGAAGGGCAGTTCCCCCTGGCCACATTCCCCACTTCCGCAGGGGAGCGGCACACCGCCGGCCGGCTTTCTCGGGGGCTGCACGGGTTCCCTTAGATGTTCCCCATAGATGTTCCCGGTGCATGCCGTCTCTCTCCTCCTTTATAGTCCTCCTCCGCCAATCCCAACTCGGCTGCCCACATGCCGAGTATGCTGCTCTCCAATCAGGAGCAAGTCCTACAGTTAATTGGTTGAACTGGAGGCAGCTGTGCGGAAGCTGTTTACTTCTCTCCCAGCGCCATATTGTGGGAGAGCAGATGCATAGAATAAGTCCTAATTCGAGTAACTTAGTCTAGTCCGGATTGCTCCCCACAGAGGAGAGCAGATGCATAGAATAAGTCTTAATTCCAGTAACTTAGTCTAGTCCGAGCTGCTCCCCACAGATCCCCCTTTCTTTTTATTTTTTGGCGTTGATACGCGCCTGTCTTCGGTGTCCCGCGGCACACACTCTGCTCTACTTGCTAGAATTGCCACAGGCTCTTACAAGTCCTATCAATCAGGCAAACCGAATCCGGGTCCTCTCTTCGCCCTGTTGTGAGGAGGTTTTTAGGCGCTGATGCGTGCCTGTGTTCGGTGCCCTGCAGCGCATGCTCTGGTCGAGCCTGCAGGGGCTTACAAGCTCTATCAGGCAAACCGAATCCAAGCCTTCTCATTGCCTTATTGTGGGGGAGACTTATTAGTGTTGGTTCGTGCCTATCTTCGGTGACCTGCAGCTCATACTCCGGTCGAGCTGCTTGTTGGCGCTTACCGCCTTAAATCAGGCAGACCGAATCCAAGCCTCCTAATTATATTGTGGGGAAGCCTTACTGATGTTAATTCGTGCCTGTCTTCGGTGACCTGCGGCGCATAAGCTGCTAGCTGCCCGCAGGTGCTCATCGTGCTCATCGCCTCACTTAATCAGGCAGACCGAATCCAAACTTTCTCGTCGCCATGTTGAGGGGAGGCCTTTCTGTTTCTCTATTTCTCTATCTCCGGGCATTCCTATTTCTCCCATTTTGCTTCTATCTGCCAACATTCCTATTTCTCTTTTACTTCTAAACTTCTGTTTCTCTTATCCCCGCAGCTTCCTGGTGCCTCGCCCCGCCGGCGGGTTCCCTATCTATTCACGCCCCGTGCTCTCTCTGCACGCGGCGGCTTCCGCGAGTAACACAGCGTAGCTTGCGTCTCCACCACTAGCATTCAATCCAAGTTCCCCGGGCTAGCCTGGCGAATTCAACCCAGCGTACGTCTCCGCCCCACGATTTGGCTTCCCGTCCTTTGCTCCCCGGGCTAATCAGACGGATCCCAATCTGGCTTACGTCTCAGCTTCTGGTTTCAACTTTTCGCCCCCTATTCCCGGGCTAACTTGAGAATCCCAAAGTGGCTTTCGTGTCCGCCTTGGCCTGCCCCCCACGGCTTCAATTTCCCTAACATTTTTCTCTACCCGGTATGTTTCCCCAAACTTTCCTCCAACGATATTCCTCCCTCATTTCTCCTGGCCTCTCCCCACAGTCCGCGTCCGAGTCTGTTTGTTCTAGCTTTCACTTTCGCTTTCGACCTTAGAGATTTCTCCCAGCTTCCCCCCGTAGTCCGTATCCGAGTCTATGCCTAGGCTTTCAATAGCTTCTTCCGGCACCCTTTTCGTCCGGCTTTTCCCTAGGCTGTTTGCTAGTCTCTCTCTCCGGTATTTTCCCTAGGCTGTTTGCTAGTCTCTCTCTCCGATATTTTCCTGCTTCTTCCCGTTTCTTCCCTCCTAAGTTTCATATCCGTCCTAGGTTTCCTATCCGAGCTAGGTTTTCTATCCGAGTCATTTCTTCCCTCCTAAGTTTCCTATCCGAGTCACGGCACCATTATATCGCTCCCCCTCTTCGTGGAGGAGCAACACAGGACCCTGCGCTGTTCTTTTCGTCTGCTCGGCCCTCCCCGGGTTTGCTGCTGGTTCTTCCCGGGTTGGCTACTATCCCTTCCACCTCCGTGGAAGGGCAGTTCCCCCTGGCCACATTCCCCACTTCCGCAGGGGAGCGGCACACCGCCGGCCGGCTTTCTCGGGGGCTGCACGGGTTCCCTTAGATGTTCCCCATAGATGTTCCCGGTGCATGCCGTCTCTCTCCTCCTTTATAGTCCTCCTCCGCCAATCCCAACTCGGCTGCCCACATGCCGAGTATGCTGCTCTCCAATCAGGAGCAAGTCCTACAGTTAATTGGTTGAACTGGAGGCAGCTGTGCGGAAGCTGTTTACTTCTCTCCCAGCGCCATATTGTGGGAGAGCAGATGCATAGAATAAGTCCTAATTCGAGTAACTTAGTCTAGTCCGGATTGCTCCCCACAGAGGAGAGCAGATGCATAGAATAAGTCTTAATTCCAGTAACTTAGTCTAGTCCGAGCTGCTCCCCACAATGTACAGCTAATGTTAATAAGGAATTCTTTTTCACTCAAGTACCAGTGGAACCATTTACAACTAGGACTTAGGAAATACCTCTGTCTTCTCCGAAGGCTCTCATTCTGCCATGATTTAGCCCTGTGTCATCTGATAATCCCCTTTCACTTTCCCCATCTGATTACATCACATATTTTTCCATAGTTGTTTCCTTGTTGTATTATGGTGCCCTGATCTGAATTTTTTTCCTAAAGGATGGTTGTAGTTTCTGCCTCTGAACTTATTCCACTTCAGGTCTGGTGCTTACTCTTTCATCAGTTTTATAACACCAAATATACTTCTAATATGCTTTCTGTGTAAATACACTTTATTTATAGGTGTGTTTATCTGTAGACACACTGTCTATTAGGCTGATTTTCAGGAGTGGCACAAAAATGTCTAAGACATGAAAAATGAGTCTTGCCAAATATAAAAATATGAAAGGAAAAGATTAAATAAAAATTAAAATAATCTGAAAATTAAAATCATGAAAATATGTGCAAATTTTAGGCAAAAGATATATATGAGATGTCTGTTGTACCATGTTTACTTTGGTGTGGGGCTAAGAGTGCCTGAGTTTATGAGGTGTTTGAATAGCCCAGGATAGATTCCCACTAGAACATTGTGTGAGATGCTTTACTGCATGGGATCTATATCATTGCTGTTACTTTGGGATGAGATGGGGTTGTTTAACCTAGGTTTTCATGCACAAACCTCTAATCTTGCAGGATTGCCTAAAGCTTTTTCCCGAGGATGGGAGGTATAAATGGTTTTCAAAAGAAAATATGGAGGCCGGCGCCGCGGCTCACTAGGCTAATCCTCCGCCTAGCGGCGCTGGCACACCGGGTTCTAGTCCCGGTTGGGGCGCCGGATTCTGTCCCGGTTGCCCCTCTTCCAGGCCAGCTCTCTGCTGTGGCCAGGGAGTGCAGTGGAGGATGGCCCAGGTGCTTGGGCCCTGCACCCCATGGGAGACCAGGAAAAGCACCTGGCTCCTGGCTCCTGCCATCGGATCAGCGCGGTGCACCGGCCGCGGCGGCCATTGGAGGGTGAACCAACGGCAAAAAGGAAGACCTTTCTCTCTGTCTCTCTCTCTCACTGTCCACTCTGCCTGTCAAAAAAAAAATACGGAAAGAAGATGAGACACCACACAGACATGGGCCCTCTTTGTTGGGGTTTCAGTCTGCAAACATTGTCTTCCTAACATCGTCTGCAGACATGGTCCTGCCAGCAAGCAAGCACCCCCTTGCTCTCCTTGGAAACTGCAGGGGAACTGGAAGTGCCTTCCCACTCTCTACTTATTCTGTCTGGATGCTTTTCTCAGCTCCTTTTCTCCACAGCTACAAATCTCATCTCCAGGATCCTGAAGATCTTCACTAAAATGTCTTCTCAATGAGGCCTTCCCTGGTCACATTTTCCAAACTAATCCCCCTTCCCAACACTCCCCATTTATCCCTTTCCACCTTATTTTTATTGATGACAGTTCTTTTTCTAAAAATTTATTTATTTATTTATTTGAGCCACAGAGAGAGGGAGGGAGAGAGGGAGAGGGAGAGGGAGAGGGAGGGAGAGAGAGAGAGAGAGAGAGAGAGAGAGAGAGAGCGCACAAGCGAGCCAGGAGCTTCCTCTGGGTCTACCACAAGGGTAGCAGGGGCCAAGTACCCAGGCTATCTTCACTGCTTTATCAGGCACATTAGCAGGGGCCTTGATCAGAAGTGGAGCAACCAGAACGCCAACTGGTGCCCATATGGGATGCTAGCATTACATGTGGCAACTTTACTCGCTATGCCAGAACGCTGGCCCTATTGTGGTGATTCTTATCACCATATGGAATATTATCTACTTTCTCATTGATCTTGCTTTTCAAGCTCCCTCCCACCTCCTTTAGAATGCTTCCATCAACAGTGCAGGGATTTCTGACTTCTTTGTTCGCTTTTGTATCCCCAACACCTAACATAGTAGGTGTTCAACAGATAGGTTGAACAAATGAATGAATTCAGCTCTTGCTAGCAGGATATTATCTCCTCTAGATGATGTAGTTCTGTTTTATGTACACAGATTTTTGATTAAATGAGGATAACAGAATGTGGAGGGGCTACGTAGAATAGGGTGGTTACCATATCATATAGATGTCTCCAGGTTCCAGAGCAAACAGCTACTGGAAGGCTGTGAGGGATGCCAGGATGGGAAGCAGTGAATATCACTCTTCTTTGGGGAACACTAGAAGTGATGATGATTCTCAGGTCATCTGTAAGGTGGTCTGGAAGTACAGGAAGTGCTTTTGGTGACAAATGCTTGCCACCTAGCAGGTGATGGTGGATTCTGTTCTCCCTTGTAGGAGAAAGATGGGTGGAGATCTTCTCTATGCCCCAGATTTGGGGCACCTTAAAAGATGTCAGTAATTTTGACGCTTACTTGCTCTTTCTTAGGTCCAAGAAGATTTGGCATGGCACTCTTTTTAGAAATATATTGAAATATACCAACCCAGCCCCAAGCTTATCTGACTGTTATAGTCAAATTATTTGTCAGCATTTAACAATGGTCCTTGACGGCTAACCTCAAATGCATGGGTTTTCAGTAGTTATCAGTAGCTTAGTTGAGAGAAACAGTGTTTATGTAGGATGCCCTAGTTTTCCTAGATTCAAAGTCCTTTGTCCACCTTTACTGGGTATTGGATCACCTGGGGATAGAAACATTCAGATATCTGTGCATTTTGCTGTGCCTTTCATTGGGATTTTCGCTGGGATTTGGATCTAAAATAGGGTTCAGAGATCTGTGTTGTTAAAAATTGCCATGGATGTTTTGGTTGCAGAAATAATGTTGAGACTTACTGCAAGATGATCTAAATATTGATTACAAATTAAAATGCCAATAATGTAACTTCAGTGAGTTAAGCATGCCTGTGACAACAGTGGAAAATTTCACTCCCTGTCTCCCATCCGAAAGGGGATCTGATACTCAGTACTAATTGTGGCCATGGGATCCCGATGTTACCAGCTTACAATGCTTCAAGGAATTTGAAAATCCTGGTTCTTTAACTGGAATAAAAACTTTCAATGAGAAACATTTTGCCTAACTTTCATGTTTGCTCAATTGAAGCATCCTACTATTGCAACGTGTGTGTGTGTGTGTGTGCGTGTGTGTGTGTGTGTGTGTGTTCAGACCAATATTTGGCTCCAGTGCAACCTATTTGCAACCTCTGCAAAATCTCTGGTTGGAGCCAGTTGGCTAGCGTCATGTTCCTGACTAGATGGTGGAACTGGCTCTCCATTTAATGAATATGTTTTTTTTTTTTTTTAAATAAAGAATTGTGGTACCTGCCTGTGTTAGGAGAATTTATAAGCAAGAGTTACCCTATTAAAATGAGTCACTCTGTTTTGTTAGTCTGCTAGAGCACACCACTCTTTCTCCTCTTTGCTTTCCTTTTTGCTTGAACAACAACTGTCCTCCTTCCAGGTTGCCAATTTGATGGTTTCTCTATTACCCCAAGCCTGATGAAATCCTCCAGTGTCCTCAGTGCTAGGGTTTTGGCATATTTCACAGTAACTTTCGATTTCAAGTTTAATTATTTATTTTATTTTCTATTCTGTAAATGTATGGAGACAGTGATCTTGTCTGTAGCTCACTGCATATCAAAATGTCTGGTAGAGAGGAACACCTGGCTTTTTCCACTTCTCATGGATGAGGACATTGGTAATAGGGGCTGGACTAGTAGCAAGGATGCTGTATTCATCATGTGGCTTCTATAGTTTCTGATATATTTATCTTTATTAAGTAATATATACCAATTATAAATATAGCAATAGATAAATACATTACATATATATGATAGTTATACATGTACATATGCTAATGCGGTCAGCATTGTGTAATTGTAATTTTGATGTCATGCTCACATGGAATTTCAGCATCCAAAGTGTGAAAGAGTCTCCTTGTTTCCTTACCAGACAGATCCCTGGCTCACTGGCCGAAGATTCCAAAAGCTTGTCTTCCCTTGTCCTCATGTGAAGCTTTCTAGAGTGCATCAACTTTGTCTTGACTGATTTTCAAAAGCCAAGTATATCCTACTGTGAGGCACATTCTCCCTGATTGTTTTTAGTCTTGAGTTGAGCAGAAATGTTTTTGATGGGGATTTAAGAGGAAGAAGTCACAAAAATATGAATCTTTTAAGAAGCTGAAATTTTCATCTCTGCCAGAGATGAGGTAAATAACTGAGTTAAATCAAGATAAATTTTGAATTTTAGCTTTATTTTTTGAATAGCTTCTTGAGGTTTTTAGAGAAAAAAGCTTTATAGAATTTTTTTGTTTCTACTTTTCTCCCTTGAGTTCTGAAATTCTTTGCATTCTCAATGGCTGGAAATAGTAATTTTCACCACCATCATCATAATTAAGCATAATATGATAATGGTTAAGATTATGAATCACTGTCTTAATGAAGGGTTATTATATTGTTCATTATCATGGCGGTTGCTATGATTATTATTTTGGGATTATAGACCATCCAGAAATGGTGAGTTCGTCCCTAAGATGATTATTACAAATAATGACAAGGATGCCAATAATTATATAACAACAGTGTTCTACTTTTTTCAGCACATATAACCACTTTACAGTTGAAATTCCTTAAAAATCACCAGTATTTCTTACACAGACAGCAAGGTAAGAAATGATGCATAAGAATGTGATATTTACCCATTATCCAAAAATCTGTGTTTAAAAACAAAGGCAGGCTATTTTAAAACAATAACATTAATTTATCAAATGTCTGCTTATGAATTACTTTTTATAATACCTGATACAGGTAAAAAATTCAATTTCAGTTTCTTGTGTTATAGTGTATTGATTACATGCAAAAATAATTTAAAAAATAAGCCCCCAACCCTCCAAAATCCAACCATCTGGAAAAGAAGACAGCATATCTTGTGAAGTGGGGGTGCACTGTGCAACCTCCAATGAGAAAATATCAAAGCACATTAGGAAACAGGCTCTTTGGTGCAGGAGCCCCATTCTTCCTCACACTTCAGGAAATGATGCATCTCCTCCTGTGACCCACTCGGAATAATGCAGGCTATAAGATCTTAATTTAATTGAGAAATGGGTAGTAGTGACTTATATTCCTTGAAAATTCTGAGAGTTTGAAAATATGTCCATATTTCACAATTTTAGAAATAAACCCGGCTATTATTATCAACAATAATAGATATATCTATAAGGGTGCTGTAAAATATATAGTTTACTGAAAATCTAGCTCAGTTCTTATGTTTCAAGTTTACAATATTATAATACCAATATTTATAGATTATCAATATTTGTTTGTTTACATAGAAAATGAAAAAGCAAATACTAGAAAAAGATGCAAAGTTCCGAGAACACTATAAAATATAAAACTTCAAAAAGTAGAGTTTGCACTTAGAATGAATGCATGATATCAGAACAAGCCAAGTAAAATAAGGAAATCTCCCCTGGAAAAACTAATATTAGCTTATGTAAGTGTGGTGTTTTATAGTTTGCATGATCTCATTGATGACACTCTAAGTTATATATGGCAGGCAATTCAATTTGCAGATGAGGGGATTGAGACTCAGTTCCTACATATGAGCAAACTGTTTTTATCCAACCTAGTAATCTAGTCTAGTAGATATAGACCCAGTACCCAAGAGTTGCTGACACATAGATAGCACTGTGCACTAGTGACTGTTACAATTTCTGTTTATCTTAAACCCCTTTAAGTCTCCCAGTAACCTCCAAAGTTAGATATCAGCTTGTTGTCACTATAATGAAATGCCTGACACAGCCTACTTATGAAGGAAAGGGTTTGTTTCAGTTCACAGTTTTGAAGGTTCAAGTCCAGGATCGAATGTCTGGGTTTGATGATTGATGAGAGTGTTGGGGTGCATGAGGCGGAAGGTTCACATGGTGACCCAAGGAACTGGATCAGACCCACACTTTTATAACCAACCCAGTGACCTAAGGACTTCACTAGGCTCACCTGCTGAACATCACAATTGGCTTAATGGTCCACCTTCTTAGTACTTACACTTAGGACTTTGGGGTTTAAATACCTGCATGAGTTTGAGAGTCATTCCCTATTTAAACCATAGCAACAGGTACTTCTGCATATGAAAATCTCAGGTTTACAAAATTTAAGTAACCAATAGGGTTAGTAATCAGTGGAACCAGGACTCAAAGCCAAGATTTAGTCCCAGAGCTCCACTATGCTGATAAAAAATTATTACTGCTTGGTACAATATCTGTCATACAGAAGGTGCTCAATAAATATTTAGTGAATAAACCAAGAAGTGACAGAAATCACTTTTTTGTGGTATTTATTGTTAACAGTATAATTTAAAGGCATATATAGTCTATGTCTGATAATATTGCACAGTATTCTGCGTGCTCACTTATTGACTGATTTATTCCTCCAGTCAACAGATGTTTATTGAGTATTTCCCATGTTTAGGAACTGTGCCAGGCAATGGGAATACAGAATAAAGCAAAAATGTGGTTTCTCTTTTCATGGATTATGTAATAGGAGCTTTCTCCCT